AATGGTTCTCTTCTCGTGCTGTCGCACTTTCTTCCCTTCTTTTTCAGCGCCATCGTCGTCCAGTACCAACAGCACCAACTACACCAATGACGACAACAGCATTACAATTAAATAATAATTATATGAATGTTCAACGGCAATATCAACCTCGTCGAAATTATAATCAACAACAAAATAGAACAAGGTCAGTAACACTTTTTTCAAATAATATTAATAGTACTCAGCCATTCTCAGTTACATCAGATAGAGTAGTAGAACAAGTAAATAGAAATAATAGAACACATCCTAATTTTCCATCGAGATCTTTAATTAAATATTATCCACATAAGTTAAGGACTAAAGAACAATTTCTTAGAGATAATGAACCACCAAAAGAATTAGAAAAAGAAAAAGATAAGATATTTTTAATAGCAAATATTTATTACCAACAGAGACATTTTGAAGAAGAAAGTAAAAAATGGAAAATATACGAACAGGTAGCTAGTAGTAAAGAACAAGATTTAGATAAGGACGGAGATGATATAAGAATGAGAGATATTGAAGAAATTCCACAAGCAAGACCTTTTTCAGAAAGATACTCAAAAATATTAAATATGACAGTTAGTGATACAGATAGTCAGAGTAATGAAGATAGTAATATAGAAGATAAGGATAAGGATAAGGATAAGGATAAAAAAGATAAGGATAAGAACAAGGATAAGGATAAGAATAAGGATAAGGATAAGGATAAGAATAAGGATAAGAGTAAGGAAGAGTCTAGTGATAGTAACATCAATAGTACATCAGATAGTGAGAATAGTAATAGTGAAGAAGAAGAAGAAGAAGAAGAAAATAAGAAAAGAAAATTACAAGATACGAGTCTTTCACCATCATCCAAGAGAAAAACATCAGAAAAAGATAATATTTTAAGAAAGAAGAAAACGAAATCAAAAAAGAAAAAGAAAATTTCAATTGAGAACGACCCACGAGCACCAGAAGGAAGTCCTATTTTATTAATTAATGAGAATAGTAATAAAGAACAAATAGATCAGATACCTAAGAAGACAAGAGCAGATACACCTGTAGATAAAAAAGAAAAGCATCGTCCATGGAATGCGCATGTGCATATAAGAAAACCACAAAGAATTAGAATTCAACGAGAGGAAATATTTGATGGACAAATTCAAGATTCATCCACTGAGCTTCCGAAAACACCACCAGGTTTAAATGATCCACCACCAATCAGTCCACGACAGAGCACACCGAAAACACCTATTCCACCACCTCAGCCATTAGTTTATAGTCCCAATCCTATAACATCAAATACTAAAAATGAAAAAGAAAAAGATAAAGAAAATAATAATAGTAATTCGCCTATTGTAGTACCTCGAATAAGATCAACAATTGAGATAGAAGAACAAGACCATCAAATGGAACAAGATAGTATCCCCCATTCACCATCAGTTATTCCAAAAGATTCTGAAATTAATAGAATAAATTTATTTGACTTTCCAGTAATTCCGATAGAATGTAAATTTCATTTTGAGATCTTTCATTTAAGAGCAAGCATAGAAAATATTAAATTACATAGAGAATATTTAGAAAAGAAATCGAAACAACAAGAAAAAGAATTAGAAGAAATTATGAAACAGTTTGAAGGAGATACACATAGAAAAATAGTACAATTTGTTAAGAATAGTATAGATCCATTAATAGATAGTTTAAAAATTTCGAATCAGAAACGTTTAGATAACCTTATATTAGACCAGATGAAAGAGAAAGCTTTAAGAACAATAAGAGAGAAGAGTAATAAGGATAGTTTAAGATTAATAGAACGAGCACAAGAAAGATTTGAAAGAACATTAGAATTAAAGTTTCAGTTAGATAAGTTAGATCGTAGATTTAATGAGAACATGCCCCCACCAGCTTTGAATGTTATGGATAAATTACAGTTCCGTAGTAAAGAGTTAAGTAATGAGGTTAAAGAACAGTATAGTGAGCAATGGAATAATATTTTGAGAAAGACTAAGTTAGACTTAACATCAGTAATGAGAATAGCAAAAGTTAGTGAGATAGATAAGAGTGAGAAAGAACATGTAGAGTTAGTAGAGAAGATACCCGTAGAAATAAGGCAAGCATATAGAGATTTAGTACACGTAATAGAAATTAGAAATAATAGAAAAGTACAAAAGAAATTAGATTTTTTAGAGAAAAGGGAATAAGAATAATAGGAAAATAGCTAGAGCAATAGAAAGGAATAGTAAAGTTAAGAATTTACACTCACATTATACCCCACTAGGATTTCCCCCTCAAGTTAATAATAAAGTATTAGATTTAGGAGAAGAAGAGAGAAGAATTTTAAATTATGGACCTAAATTCGTACCTGAGAATCCAAAACAGGCCTTAGATAGATTAGAAGAAGAGATTAGAGTAATGAAAGATAAGGTAGCCGAAGCTTGGAGAAGAGAAACTAGAACAATAGGTAGAAATCCGGAAAAAGTAGAAGAATTTGCGCAGAGATTAGAAGAAGAATTAAGGAATAAGATAAGTGAAGGAAGAGTACAAGACCCATTAATTGAGAAAACCTTAGAACATTTTCAAAAGGAACAAAAAAAGGGTAAGGTTATTTTCAGACAAACAGATAAATCCAAAGTATTCCATGTAGATAGGCCTGAGACATATATAGAGAAGTCGATAGCTTATATGAGAAAGACAGACGCCTACCAAGAGATAGAAGAATCCCCATTAGTTAGTATGATAGAAAAAACAGAAGAGTTATTAAGAAATTTAGTTAATAGAAAATTATTACCCGGGAAATATTTTGAAAAATTGAAACCAGACCCCAAAGATGCCGAGTTACCCCATCTTTATTATAATCCAAAAGATCATAAGGTAGGAGAACCACTTAGACCAATTGTTTCGGGGATGAAATCACCAACACAAAAAATCTCGGCTTTTCTAGATCAAATTATTCGTCCCATTTTTGATAAATTAACCCCATATAGTTTGAGAAATAGTATAGAATTTTTAAAGGAATTAAAAAATCATAAGACTACAAACCAGACTCTTGTATATACATTCGATATAACGGATTTATACACAATGATACCCCAACAAGAATCGATCTTAGCCATTTGTGAGATGTTAGGTGAGAATAGAATAAATAAGGTTAATGGAGAGATACCCATCAATACGATAAGGACCCTCTTTAGACATGTTTTAGAAAATGCGTATTTTGCCCTTCAGTTACCCGGTGAGAAAGTTAAGTACTATAAGCAAGTTAGAGGAGGACCCATGGGATCAGAGTGTACTCAAGTCTTAGCAGATGTTTATATGAGAAAGTGGGAAAAACAGTTTAAGGTAGATCAGGATAAGGAAGGAGAGTTATATTTTAGATTTAGAGATGATATTTTTATTACTAGTAAGAAGAGTAAGGATGAGATAGATAGGATATTAACTGAATTAGGTAAGAAAGATAAGAATATAGGATTAACTTTTGAGACAGGCTCACATGTAGATTATTTAGATGTAAGAGTAGAAGTAGAAATTCCCAACTTTAGAACTAAGGTTTATAGAAAGTTAGCGGCACAACCTTATATCCTACCGTTTAACTCAGCACACCCTCCTCATGTAATGAAGAATATTCCCTTCTCAGCACTTTTACGAGCAGTAAGAATATGTTCCCATAGAGAAGATTTAGAAGAAGAGATTGAGAAAGTTAGAATAACCCTACTTTTGAATAAATACCCGCCTAAATTTATAGACAAACATTTTCAGAGATTTTTTGAGACATTAACTGAAAAAAAGGATAAAAATTTACTTCTTAGCGAGAGACATAATGAATATAGAAAAAAAGTCTTAGATGAAGGATGGAATAAAAAAGAGAAACCCGGGATAAACTTAAGTAGAGATATTATGGTCCACTTCACGTATACCCCCAGTTTAGCACGTTTCGGGTCAAAGTTTCATCAAATTTGGCAAGAGATCTTTGAAGAAACCCCACTTAGCGATATCCCAATTATTTTTGCGCATAGATTAACGGATAATTTAAAAAAGATACTAGTTCATAAGAAACCACCTAAGACAGCAGTTAAGGCACTAGTAGAAGAGTTAGAACGAGAATAGAATAAGTTAATAGATGTCCCCTTCCCTCTTTTTTGTTTTCTATTTTTAGTATCGTCGATAAGATCGATGAGAACAACGAAGGACCTGGCCGATATTGTTTTTAGTTCTTCGTTCTGTTTTTTGTTTTTTATTAAGTTATTTGTAATACTTATATATTTTTGTATGTGTAATATTTTTTGTGATAGGGTTGAGAAGGCTGCTCCTCTGAGATAGGGTTGAGTGGCCAGTTGAGTAAGTTTTTTCTAATCTTTTGAGTATAGAATGTTAGTTTTGAGTCGTTGAGTATTTTATTATTCTTTACTTGAGCAACTCGCTTTTCCCGCACCCACACCATTGAGATTGAGCTGTGAGAGATATAGTCAGAATAGTACGACATCTATGAGAGTAATGACCCCTATATGAGAATAGTGACCCCCATAGAACAAAGGAATTTTTCTTATTGGACGAGTATAGAGAACAATAGACGAGAGCAAGGAGAGGAAAAGAAGGAAAGAATAGATAGTCATTCATAGCCTGAAGAAATTCGAAACGCGTCGCTTCTTATTGTCAAAGTTATTTATTGTTATTCAATAAAATTCAATAAAATTACATTAAAATTATATAAAAAATTATAAATTAAATTAAATTTATTATTACAAAAAAAAGTTTGCTCTCATTTCTCTAAAGATATAGCTTTTTTCAAACCAAAAAAGTTAAACAAATTTCTTTTTTTCTTGACTCCTAAAACAAGTTGTTTATTTTCTATCCTAAAAATATTTATTTCATTCAATTTTTCTCATATAAAAACTATTTATTTCATTCATTCATTTTTTCTCATATAAAATTACTTATTTCATTCATTTTCTTACATAAAATTATTCATATCATTTATATCTCCACATAAAATTATTTATTTCATTTATCTTTCAATCTAAAACATTTATTTCCTTACATAAAACGATTTATTTCAT